AGGGATTCTCTATGTCACTGCCCGGTGAAAGTTTTCAGTACTTAACTGCACTTCATTAAAAAAGTGTTTTTCAGCTCCATCCACGATCCAATCTTTTCTAAGTTACTGCCAATCGATAATTCATTACAAGCAAACTTTTGCTATGTTGCTTGGCTGAAGCTGTATCATAGATGATATTAAACATTCTATGCATAACACTTACGAGCAATATATATAAATTGGTTCAGTTTAAAAGAAATATTCACTTATTTTCTTCAAGGTTACTTGTATGGACCCAGAACTTTTAATGGGCCTAATATTTTATTTAGATTACCTCCATACGGTCACGGGTCAAACGGGCATATTTTATTTAGATTACTTCCATACGGTCACGGGCCAAACGGGCATATTTTATTAAGATTACTTCCATACGGTCACGGGCCAAACGGGCATATTTTATTAAGATTACCTCCATACGGTCACGGGCCAAACGGACATATTTTATTTAGATTACTCCCATCAGGTCACGGGCCAAACGGGTATATTTTATTAAGATTACCATCCGGTCACGGGCCAAACGGGCATATTTTATAAAGATTACCCCATCAGGTCACAGGCCGATCGGGCATATTTTATAAAGATTATTCCATCAGGTCACGGGCCAAACGGGCATATTTAATAAAGATTATCCCCAACCGGTCACGGGCCAAACGGGCATATTTTATAAAGTTTACCCCCATCCGGTCACTGGCCAAACGGGCATAATTTATAATGATTACCCCCATCCGGTCTCGGGCCAAACGGGCATAATTTATAATGATTACCCCTATCCAGTCATGGGCCAAACGGGCATATTTTATAAAGATTACCCCCACTGGTCACGGGCCAAACGGGCATAATTTATAAAGATTTCCCCCATCCAGTCATGGGCCAAGCGGGCATATTATATAAAGATTACCCAATCTGGTCACTGGAAATCATTGTGAAGCATTGGTTTGCTATTTATCTTGGCCTAGGCTATATCTTTTATTTTGGTTCTGCTTTTAAGTTGTAAGTAATCGCTGGTTTGCTTTAGGGTTACATTTATTACATGTATGGACCTAGAACCTTTAAAGAGCCAAACGGGAATATTTTAAATATAATTTCATAGGGAAAATAATCTTTCTAAAAACTACATGACTTAATGATGGGTGACATGGTCTGTGCATAACCTGTTTCATTTCAACTCTTATCCCAACTATGAGGGGCGTCCGTGGCCGAGTGGTTAAGGTCGTTGATTTCAAACCACTTGCCCCTCACCGCTGTGGGTTCGAATCCCGACAGGGACTTTGGATTCTTTCATGTGAAGAAGCTATCCAGCTAGCTTACGGAACGTCGGTGGTTCTACTCACGTGCACGTTCGTGCCTGAAAAAATGCCCGGAGGGGCACCTGAGGTCTTCTTCCACCAGTAAAGCTGGAACGTCGCCAAATGACCTATACTGTGTCAGTGTGACGTAAACCCCAAATCAAACAAAAACAAAAATCCTAACTATGGACCAGAGGATTGAACTGGATTTCATGGATTAAAATGTTGCCACTTGATCTTTGGCTTTCATCAATTTACTTGTTAGTTGTATTGATGTACATTTATGTTTGTGATGCAACGACATGTATCAACGACCTAATACTGACTATATTAAAGCAGCACGCCTCCAGTTTCATGCTTATTTTCATTAAAATTTGAAAATATATTTAAAAATATAAAAAATTGTAAAGTTACCAAAAGAATGCAGTTTACACATTTTAAATGGCATTTACAACCCATGTAAGTTACCAAAAAGAGGTCAAAAATACAAAAAAATCACTTACTGCGTTAGTAAAAATACAGATATTAAGGCTGAAAAATAGGTCATAAGTATTGGGTAACTTTTTACAGCTGCCACACAGCACTTGACACCAGCTTCTGTGACGTATAAAAATCTGGAAACAAAGTGATCCCTCAGAAGCATTAATCGCAACAAAATTACATGAAAATTGTAGACTCGGTTTGATTTAGTCTGTACATGAGGGATAATGAATGAGTGCAACATTCAAACATAAAATGGAACATTAAACATTATTTTAAGTCCTAGCATGACAAAAAAACCTCAGAGGAGTCCCTTTAACATACATGAAGCATGAATCTATTTAAGTTGATATTTTTCTTATCTTGTCCAAATATCTTGTAAATCAGTTTTCTTCCACAAAGGGAGACAACAAATGCCAGATTTGAAATAAGTGCTCAACACAGTTATCTTAAGATTGAAAGAGAAAGAGGAAGTTAAAAATAAATCCAGAAAACCCAATACTTTAATTGTTGAAAATTCTGAAATACTTTGTTTTTCTTGAGAATATTGAAAATCTAGTGACCTCTGCTGTAGATAAAAACAAAAAGGTAATTATTTAATTTTTATTCTACACTACTGACTAGTTTTTATTAAAATTGTTTTTCAAAAAGAAGTCAAAATTATGTATCTGATTGTAAACTTTCATTTTATAGGTTACTTAAAAATAAACAGATTTTAAAACAATTTTCTCTTTAAGGAAAATTTGACAATTTAACACTAAACAATATAATTCTGATTGTGGTGATCTTAGATAAGACAAGGCCGATCAGTGATGACTGTGTAGCCATAACTCGGCAAAAATCATTCAACCTAAATACCTGTGTAAAATGCCTATTGATCAATCCTGTAAAGTTGCATTGACTTTGTATCATTGGTATAACAGAAGTAGTCCGGACAAATTTCCAATCAAATACTAAAGAACGGTTAGGCCTAGGAACTTCAAACTTGGAATGATGATTGTTTATGACCAGTGAATGACCCCTATTGATTTTGGGGTCAAAGGTCAAGGTCACATTGACATTAAAGGTAAAATCGGTTTCCAATCAATAACTTGACAACTCATCTGATATTGGCCCTCAAACTTTGTAGGTGCATTAAACTTGAGCAGTAGATGATCCCTGTTGATTTTGGGGTCAAGGGGTCAAAGATTGTTTATTATAACAATTGATTTTATTTAACAGACTGTTATATGTCTTTGAAATTGATAACATTAGGATTTTATCCTATCTCTGTTTCAATATTACGTTGACATGTGCACCTTTATGTAAAGCTTTAATTTTCTACCTTTCATTTTTACCAAAGTTTTTTTAACAGTTTTGATACAAACAAAAAGAAAATAATAATTCATTTCACAAAGTGATTGGAGGATTCCTGTAGTAGAATACCTATAGGTATGGACTTACAGAACAAGTTTTAGTATAAATAAACAGAAATTGTCATACAAAGCTAAATTAACTTTTTCTTCAAAGAAATGCATTAAAGGAACTCCACAGAGGTTCAATTGAAGCCTAAAAACATTGAAGTCTTACATACATCAGCTTGGGCACTTAATACAGAAATATATTCAAAAGAATAGAAAGGATTATACTTTACTCAGTATAAATGAAAAATCATATTTGTTCTATTTCTTAGCTCAATTCGAGTGAAAATTGTAGTGACAAGTAACCAGTAAAAAGTTTGTGTCATTTTTCACAATAAGAAATTTTTTTCTGAATTCTAGAAAAACAGACTAAGTCAATGATCTGATATTTGGCACAAAAAATATTGGTCTAAACCTTAATAAATGGAACTTCAATCTTGAAAAATTATTTCCTGTCCTGAAAGTTACAAAAAAAAACCTCAGTGGAGTCCCTTTAATATACATGAAGCATGAATCTAGTACATTATCTTATCTTGTTCAAATATGATGTCAGTTTTCTTCAAAAAAAGGGAGACAACAAATGTCAGATATAAAGTAACTGCTCAACCGAGTTATCTTCTTAAGATTAAAAATGAAAGAGGAAGTTAAAAATAAATCCAGAAAACCCAATTCTCTAATTGTTGTTAGCAACTAGGTTGTTGTTAGAAACAGGGAAATTTCTGAAGTATTTTGTTTTGCTTTTTAAATATTGAACATCTAGTGACCTCATGATCTTAAATCTGCAGCAGGCATAAAAAGGTAAACATTTAATGATTACTCTTTTATATTACTGTCTAGTGTCTATTAAAATATATTTCAAAAAGAGGTCAAAGGTCCGATTAAACTATTTTATTAAAATTTCCGTTTCTTAGGGTATATAAAAATTAACTGAATAAATCAATTTTCACTAAACAGAAATCATCGAAAACATTTTATAACACATTTCTTTTAAAATAGCACAAATTGATTAGGATGCAAATGGTGATTAAAACCTTATTTTAAAACAATTTTCTTTAAAGGAAAATTTGACAATTTAACAATAAGCAATAATATTCTGATTGTGGTGATCTTAGATAAGACAAGGGTCATCAGTGATATCTGTGTCGCCTCATGATAGCCATAACTTGACAAAAAATCAGTCCACCTAAAAACCTGTGTAATATGCACAAGAATTTGAGCTATTGATCAATCCTGTAAAGTTTCATTAACCTTGCATTATTGGTTTAACTGGTGTAGTCCGGACAAATTTAAAAATTAAAATCATGAAAGGGCAAAAACTCTGACAAAAATCAATGAACTGAAAAATGTTGTTGTACATATTAGGTATTAATCATGATGAAATTGCACTAGTTTCTGACGAGTAGTCCAGACAAACTTATGTATAGCTTGCAACAAACACCGTTTGAAAATCTTACATTGATCAGTTGAGACAGTTAAAACAGAAACGTATGCAAAAGAAAGAAAGCAATATACTCAATATGAATTAAAACTCATTTTCTTTTAGCTATTCTAAGCTCAATGTGAGTGAAAAAGCAAAAGAATGTCACTAGAAACAATTTTTGGTCATTTTTCAGAATTAGAGTAGTTATTCTGGAATTCTGGAAAAACATTCTTAGCCAATGATCTGATATTTGGTACAGAAGTAATATGTCTAAATCTACATCAAATGGAACATTAAAATTTTGAAAAATTATTTCCTGTCCTGAAAGTTACAAAAAAACCTTAGTGGAGTCTCTTTAACATACAGGAAGCATACATGAAGTATAATATATGATAAACAAGATCACCAAGGAAAGGCGGCGTTCAATGAACACAGCCCCCACCAGACCCAGGGCAAGGAGCCCAGGAGGATCTCAAATTAAAACAGGAAATGAAACATGAATACATGAGTACAGTTGATCTTTATCTTATCTTGACCAAATATCTTAGTCAGTCAGTTTTCTTCAACAAAGGGAGACACAAATGTCAAATTTGAAATAACTGCTCAACAGAGTTATCCTCTTAACATTGAAAAAGAAAGAGGAACTTTAAAATAAATTCAGAAAACCCAAAACTGTATGTTGTTAGCAACTGGGAAATTCCTAAATTGTTTTGTTTTTCTTTAAAATAAAATGAAAATCTAGTGGCCTCATAATCTTTAATCTGCTGAAGATATAAACAGCAGAAGGTAAAAAATTTAATATTTTTCTACACTACTGACATGTTTTGATTTAAATCGTATATCAAAGAAGTCATAATTATGTATCTGTTTAAAATCTCTATTCCATAGGTAATTTAAAAATAAACTTAAAAAATTGAATTTTTAAAACACAAAAATCATCTAAAAAATTATTGATACATATCTTATAAAATAAAAAAAAGATAATGGTGATAGATACTTATCTTAAATCAAAAGGAAAATTTAACAATAAACAATGCTAATCACGTTGTAGTGATCTTAGATAAGAAAATCAGAAAAGAAATAAAGAAATTCAATATATGTTAGAAACTTTATAATATTTTTAGAACATTAATGATATTTTCAGAATGTATCAAGTACCAAAGTACACAGAGACTGTGTCAATGAAGCTATCAGAGGTTCTGGCTGATATAGGCGTTGATGAGAGAGAATAGTGATGAAAAGGAGAAGAACATGGCTTCTGAATGAATCAATCATAAATATAAATTACCAACTTCGTGTTGAAAATAACTTAACTCATATTTTGGGGAGTCAATCAGAAGGTACAACAACAATAGGAATAGATTCAGACATAGATAAACTTATTTGTTATAAAACACTCCCTGTAACACAAGACTGGAGTGACTGGATACCTGGTGAAAATAATCTTTTGATGATTCAAGATAATTCTGTATCTCCTGGATATTGTTTACTTCAAGTGCTGAGAGATGATGCTCCTCTTCCTCTTGATGAGCCTCTTGATGATGAATCTGATCAATACTTCTTTAAAGACAGAACAGGAAAAATACTTTTTCAAAAATTCTATAGTATCTTATATAAATAGAGACGGTGATGTACATGGGCCAGCAGGTGTACATCAAGGACCAGGCTACTGTGATATAGATAATGTGTTTGCTCTACATTGTTACAACATGGCCACAACAAGCTAGACAATGGTTGGATCAACAAGGTGAAGGTCAATGGCCGTCTGCTGAAATGAAACAATATTGCAGCAGAACTGGATGCTTTGTTGTTCCTGTTGGATGTAGTGGCAGTGAACATGAGCAACTTGAATGGAGAATATCAACATCTTTAGCAGAGAGGTGTTTAATGTTCAACCTGAATATTACACAGATTCGCTGTTAAGTCTTAATCAAAATGATTTTAAAAACATTTATTAATCTATTATTTCAAGATGTGATATCCAGTTACATGTGTAAAACTGTACTCTTCCACTGTATTGCTTATACACATTCTAACATCTGGAGAGAAAATAACTTACTTTCTTGTCTATCACTGTGTTTATTTCTACTGTACAACAGTATCATTAATGAAAATTGTCAACATTTTATCATACCTGGGAACAATTTAATGAGGGGAAAAATTTCACCTGTAGTCAAACCATATATCCTGGAAATACTCATCAATATCATCAACAGTGAAGGAGTGGCACTACTTGGGACTAAATGTGATGATCTTGGTTCCAGGCTTCATCTCAAGTTTAATAACTTCTGTCTAATCAAGAAAAGTGACGATATTTCAGCATCACTAGTATTAAATTTGGTTTTACTTATATCTAAGACATTGATAGAAACTTATAATCTTCTTAAAGACAGTAGTCCTCATGAAGCTGTTAAAAAGTTAAGGAACTATGTATCAAAGACAGTCAACTTTCAACATAAAGGTCTGGATAAGACAGCCAGTCATCTAATGTTACCATGGTACTGTACAACACTTGGATCTGTCCTGGCTTCTATCAACATAAATCAGTACAACACTGTATCAGCAGATGCCCTCAAACTCATCTCACTTGGTCTGAATACAGATGTTGCATCAAGTAAACTGAAACTAGCTTCAATCTTATTCTGTGCTCAAGAAATACAAAAAGCTGACCTGGTTCTCAGTGAGATTGAAAGAAGATATGATCTACAAATTGTTGAGCCTGTCTGTAATTGTCATCAATTTGAGAAGGAACCAAGAAAACAAGGATTCAATGAATTATGTGACAATCATAATGAAGAAGTATTACAGTATACAACAGCATTGTGTGTTAGATTTCTGCCATGTGAAATTCACTGTGTTCCATCTGAACTCGGATATGAATTGTTTAGATCTACACAAGAAGACATAATATTTCGTACAGAAAGAGACAACAAATGGATGGATTGTGCTACGGTGGATTCCCTCCCTTACCTCTACTTTCTACAATACAAAGTTAACAGCCATTTAGGAAGACATGACCAGAAACAAGCTGCCCTTTTCAAACTTATCAGAACCATAAAAAGAGGAACCAAACCTTGGACATCGGGAAACAGCCCTCAATATTCTAGGAAAATGCATGGAACAAGAAGGTAGAACTGGAGATGCTTTACAGTGTTATTTGATGTCACTTAATGTAAGGGAAGAAACAATGCTGCAAAGATTCATATCACCACACTCTTATCTGTATTGATAAATGCAAGGACAAAAGAGGTAAGACAAAACTGTGAAAAAGCAGGACAGTCAGAGAGAAATGAACAAGCTATAATTTATATTCCTGCAAAATATCTTTTTCAAATGATGTGATCCAAGCTATCCATACCAGCAATATTTACTTTGATTATACTCTAAACAAAACATTGTACTTTAACATTAATTTCTGCACACAAATTAAGCCAAGTAAAGCCCATAGTAAAAAGTATCTGATTGGGAATAAAAAAACATAAGCATTGTCATTCAGATATGACTACACAATAAAACTGTGGATATTTCCTGTTTACCTAGGTAAATAGATCCTTTGTCTTTATAATTTGATAAATGTTTACACCATTAATTAATAACTTTAAGGCAGCACAACTACTAGTAAATAAAAGTATAATAAATCTTTGAATAAAAATAACGTGATAAATGTCCATGGGATATTAATTTGTCTTTTGTTTTATTTTTCCATGTATTGGAAGTATTTGGGTATCATATTTTATTTATTTTTCCCGGCATAGAAAATATTGCAGTATGGGTTCTGTTCTATTTTTCCAGTTAGGTATTAGAAATATTGCAGTATGACTTTTGATATATTTTTCAAGATATTGGAAGTATTGCGGTATCACTTTATTTATTTGTCCTGGCATAGAAAATATTGCAGTATGGGTTTTGTTCTATATTTCCAGTTAGGTATTAGAAATATTGCAGTATGACTTTTGATATATTTTTCCATGTATTGGAAGTATTTGGGTATCACTTTTTATTTATTTTTCCCGGCATAGAAAATATTGCAGTATGGGTTTTGTTCTATTTTTCCAGTTAGGTATTGGAAATATTGCAGTATGACTTTTGATATATTTTTCCAGATATTGGAAGTATTGCGGTATCACTTTATTTATTTGTCATGGCATAGAAAATATTGCAGTATGGCTTTTGATATAATTTTTCCAGGTATTGGAAGTTTTGCGGTATCACATTTTATTTATTTGTCCTGGCATAGAAAATTAGAAAATATTGCAGTATGACTTTGTTCTATTTTCCAGGTATTGGAAGTATTGGAGTATTGCTTTTGTTCTATTTCTCCAGGTTTTGGAAATATTGCAGCATTGCTTTTGTTCTATTTTTCAAAGTAGCTCTATTGTAATTATCACAGTAAGGCTAATGTTCTATTTTTCCAGGCAGTGGGGAGTACCACAGTAAACTTTTGTTCTATTTTCCCCAGGCACTGGGAGTACCACAGTATGACTTTTGTTCTATTTTTTCAGGTACTGGAAGTATTGCAGCAAGGCTTTTTGTTTTATTTTTCCAGTTTTAGAAAGTATTGCAGTATTGCTTTTATTCTATTTTTGTCCCATATTAGGAGTATTTCAGTATGGCTTCTGTTCTATTTTTCTACATGTTCTAGGTACAGAAAGTATTGCAATATCACTTTTGTTCTATTTTTCCAGGTATTGGAAGTATCACATTATGGTTTTTGTTCTATATTCCGGATATTGGAAGTATTGCAGTATAATTTTTGTTCTATGTTTCCAGGTATTGGAAGCATTACGTTGGAGAGACTGAACGGTAATAAAAGTGTTGACCTTGATAACACAGATGAAATGCCAGATGACAAATCAGTGCTGAAATTGAAGGCCAAGAAGAAAGCCAAAGTGGTCAAATTTTAGGGAAACTTAATTTTTCGTTGGCTTATTATATATGATATTATAGTAGAAAAAATAAAATATATATAATTGATGAATTTTGCTGATTAAAATATCCCTAATTTATAAATCTCTGTTGACCAATAAGTTGTACAGCTGATAACTTTGTTTCCTCCTTTAGTGAAAAGAAATAACTTTGTTTCTACCCTTAGTGAAAAGAAATAACTTTGTTTCTAGCCTTAGTGGAAAGAAATATCTTAAATTTATACTTAACCTGTATCTTCAATTTTAACACGCCCGAAAATATTTTAGCATATTATGCCCTGCCCTGGGGATAACTTGATTTATATAGACTTACATAGGAAAACACATTTAAGTTTCATTGTGTGAAACTAAAATTTCTAGAGCTTAGATATTTAGCATGTGGCATTGCCGTAATGACCTTTATAGAACTGATATGAATCATGCCCCTTGGTTTAGTCTTGGCCCTGCCTCAGGGGTCACTACATTTTTTAGAATAATATAGAAAAACACATCCGAGACTTATTGTGTGAAACATCAAGCCAAGAGCTTATGGTATATGGCATTTAACATCATTCTGTGGACCACAAAATAACTGGTATTAATCATGCTCCTTGGGGGCCTACATAGGTTCTGGTGGGGGTCATTTTGTTAATATAGTTTTGTGTAGGAAAACACGTTTAAGTCTTATTTTGGCGAAACATCAATGCCTTAAGTTTTGGTTTTTGACATGTTTTGCATTGCCTTGTTGGCCTCTACAAAACTGATATTTATCATGCCACTGGGGTCAATATCGGTCGGTCCCAGGTTTACTTGATTTAGGAAAACACATTTGAATCCCTTTGTGAGAAACTACAAAGCCAAAATCTTAGATATTTGGTATGTAACATATATTTGTAGATTTCTACAAAAGTTATATTAAGCATGACCCTTCGGTTGAAATTGGGCCTGTCCTGCATAAATCGCATTGTTACGGAAAAATGATGGTACCGGCAGAATCTTGCCCCTATTTTCTGCTAAGCCTTGCTTGATAAATTTTGTTACATCAGACACTAGTATGGGATTCCCTATGCACTTATTCAAAAAGTATTTTTCTCCCCATCCCCGATCCAATCTTGCATTTTGAATTAACTGCCACTGGAAAAGTCATTAGAAACATAATTTTGCTATGTAGCTTGGCCTAATCTGCATCGAAGATGGTATTTCAACAAAGGTATGCAAAAAATAAACAAGCAATAAATCTTGGTTGTACTTTAACTTAGAAAAATTATTCAGTTTTCTCATGGTTACATTTATGGACCCAAACCCTTAAGCGGGACCAAACGGGCTATTTTATAAAGATTACTCCCATCCGGTCTCTGGCCAAACGGGCATATTTTTTAAAGATTAACCCATCCGGTCACAGGCCAAACGGGCATATCTTATAAAGATTACCCCATCCGGTCACGGGCCAAAATGGCATATTTTATAAAGATTACCCCCGTCCGGTCACGGGCCAAATGGGCATATTTTAAAAAGATTACCCCCATTCGGTCACGGGTCAAACGGTCATATTTTATAAAGATTACCTCCCTCCTGTCACGGGCCTAACGGGCATATTTTATTAAGTTTACCCCCATTGGTCACGGGCCAAACGGGCATAATTTATAAAGATTTCCCCCATTCAGTCACACGGGCTATTTTATAAAGATTACTCCCATCCGGTCTCTGGCCAAACGGGCATATTTTTTAAAGATTAACCCATTCGGTCACAGGCCAAACGGGCATATTTTATAAAGATTACCCCATCCGGTCACGGGCCAAAATGGCATATTTTATCAAGATTACCCCCGTCCGGTCACGGGCCAAATGGGCATATTTTAAAAAGATTACCCCCATTCGGTCACGGGTCAAACGGTCATATTTTATAAAGATTACCTCCCTCCTATCACGGGCCAAACGGGCATATTTTATTAAGTTTACCCCCATTGGTCACGGGCCAAACGGGCATAATTTATAAAGATTTCCCCCATTCAGTCAAACGGGCTATTTATAAAGATTACCCCATCCGGTTACGGGCCAAACGGGCAAAATTTATAAAGATTACCCCAATCCAGTCACGGCCCAAAGGAGCATATTTTATTAAGATTACCCCCATCCGGTCACGGGCCAAACGAGCATATTTTATAAAGAAAACCCCCGTCCGGTCACGGGCCAATTGGGCATAATTTATAAAGATTTCCACAATCCAGTCATGGGCCAAGCGGGCATATTATATAACGATTACCCAGTCCGGTCACTGGAAATCATCGTGAAGCATTGGTTTGCTATTTAGCTTGGTCTAGGCTATATCTTTTATTTTGGTTCTGCTTTTAAGTTGTAAGTAATCGCTGGTATGCTTTAGGGTTACATTTATTACATGTATGGACCTTTAAAGAGCCAAACGGGAATATTTTAAAAAGAATTTCATAGGGAAAATAATCTTTCCAAAAACTACATGACTTAATGATGGGTGACATGGTCTCTGCATAACCTGTTACATTTCAACTGTTATCCTAACTATGGACCAGAGGATTGAACTGGAGATCATGGATTAAAATGTTGCCACTTGATCTTTGGCTTTCATCAATTTACTTGTTTGTTGTATTGTTGTACATTTATGTTTAAGATGTAACGACAGGTATCAACAACTTAATACTGACTATATTAAAGCAGCACGCCTCCAGATTCATGCTAATTTTCATTAAAATTTGAAAATATATTTAAAAATATTATCAAAAATTGTAAAGTTACCAAAAGAATGCAGTTTACACATTTTAAATGGCATTTACAACCCATGTTAGTTACCAAAAAGAGGTCAAAAATACCTTACTGCGTTAGAAAAAATATAGTTACTAAGGCTGAAAAAATAGGTCATAAGTATGGGGTAACTTTTTACAGCTGCCACACAGCACTTGACACAGCTGCTGTGACGTATAAAAATCTGGAAACAAAGTGATTCCTCAGAAGCATTAATCGCAACAAAATTACATGAAAATTGTAGACTCGGTTTGATTTAGTCTGTACATGAGGGATAATGAATGAGTGCAACATTCAAACATAAAATGGAACATTAAAAATTATTTTCAGTCCTGGCATGACAAAAAAACCTCAGTGGAGTCCCTTTAACATACATGAAGCATGAATCTATTGAAGTTGATATTTTTCTTATCTTGTCCAAATATCTAACAAGAAAAGCATTGATGCAAAGCATCAAAGGGCGTCCAAGCAAGAAATGCAGCAAGTGAAGATGAACTAGTACACATATGATGACAAGATATTCTTATAAACTACCAGAAATGTATACCACTTATGAATGAGCGGACGAAAGACATTGTTCATTATGAACTTTGATTGGCATGCTAGAGATTAGAATATTACTTGTTATTTCTTTATGATCGTGGTTATTAATAGCAACGGATATACATGTATGCAATCATTTATAATCCATATGTGTAACGCATGATCAACACGTACCACACATTTGTCCCTTATTATGTACATGTTATCGCTATTAGCGAAGACCCCCTTAAGGTATATGTTCACACTTTAAGTTAGTAAAAATATGACACTGGTTATATTACCATGTTGATCATGTTGAGCATAATAATTGTTTATTATACAATAATTGTAATATCTATTAATTTTAATTTAAAAAAAAATACAAATGTCACGGTTCAGAACTGTTCACTATTTAGGGGAAAAGATGTGTAAGCGGCCGGATAGCTCAGTCGGTAGAGCCGCGGAACGGTATTCCGAGGGTCCCGGGTTCGAGTCCCGGTCAGGCTGCACATTTTTCTCACCCTGTGACATTTGGCGCCCAACGTGGGGCCGTGACTGATATAGCTCAGAGTTAAATTTACATTGCTCTGTAACTCTGTGAAATTCGAGGACGAATTTCAATATAGCAGGGGAGTATGTCACGGTTCAGAACTGTTCACTATTTAGGGGAGAAGATGTGTAAGCGGCCGGATAGCTCAGTCGGTAGAGCCGCGGTACGGTATTCCGAGGGTCCCGGGTTCGAGTCCCGGTCAGGCTGCACATTTTTCTCACCCTGTGACATTTTGGTTTATGAATATTGTTTTCTTTTATTCTTTTTTGTGTTTATGTGCTATTTTAATACTGAGTTTTTACTACTCTTTTTTATTAAAATTGTAAAATAAATTTTAAGAATTCAATTTTCATATTGACCGACGATTATAAGTCAAAGCTTAACTGGAAAAAGTCAGTAAATTATGGTTTATCTTTCAATACATAATATTGTTTATTCTTAAACCATGTACATGTACATTGTATTTTTCTTTATCATTTTTTAAATTATCGATCAATTGAATAATTCATAAAATCTAATTTGTAACTTTGAATAATTCCTCGGCATCTTTACTAAACACGGATAACAAATTGAATAATTAAATAAAATGTTTCAAAGTTGATAATGTCATTTTAATACCATAAAAAATGTACCTTTTTCTCAATTATTGTACATATCACGGATTTATATTACATATAAATCCGTGTACATATTTATTGTTTTTATCTCATATAGATAAAATGAAACATGCTATTGTTGTTTTTTTCTAATTGTAACGATATCAAACATCTACTCCAAAACCGGGAGAGACCGGACAATATAACGTGTGGTACTATTCGCCGGTCACTAGTAAATCCTGGTCAAAATAGACCGGGAGAGACCGGCATTTACCGATAGGAGTGATAAAAAGATATATCTATAAATAGGTTTTTGGAATATTTAGGTCATCAACTGATCATTCTAGGATACATGTACAACAATAACATACCATGACATGATAACCGACTGTGTACTACAAAATGATAAATAAAAAACCCCGAAGAGCGCGATTTATTGACGGAAAAGGTTATTTCATTTGTAAATGTTTGCATTGCGAAAATTCATTGTAACATATCGCGACATTTCATTCTTATTTAATAATCAAGCACCCTCATACCGATCGGAATTTTCGGCTTTTATTATGACCGACTAAAAGGCTCGAGAAGTTGCTGTCGCCCTTTCACAAAATCTGATCTCATTCCATAAGAGCGCCGCGCTTCGGCGCGGACGCCAATAAATCGGTTTTCTTCCACAAAGGGAGACAACAAATGCCAGATTTGAAATAACTTCTCAACACAGTTATCCTAAGATTGAAAGAGAAAGAGGAAGTTAAAAAGAAATCCAGAAAACCCAATACTTTAATTGTTGAAAATTCTGAAATACTTTGTTTTTCTTTAGACTATTGAAAATCTAGTGATCTCTGCTGTAGATTAAAACAAAAAGGTAATTATTTAATTTTTATTCTACACTACTGACTAGTTTTTATTAAAATTGTATTTCAAAAGGAAGTCAAAATTATGTATCTGATTATAAACTTTCATTTCATAGGTTATTTAAAAATAAACAGATTTTAAAACAATTTTCTTTATAAGGAAAATTTGACAATTTAACACTAAACAATATAATTCTGATTGTGGTGATCTTAGATAAGACAAGGCCGATCAGTGATGACTGTGTAGCCATAACTCGGCAAAAATCATTCAACCTTAAAACCTGTGTAATATGCCTATTGAAGTTGCATTGACTTTGCATTATTGGTATAACAGAAGTAGTCCGGACAAATTTCCAATCAATTACTAAAGAACGGTTAGGCCTAGGAACTTCAAACTTGGAATGATGATTGTTTATGACCAGTGAATGACCCCTATTGATTTTGGGGTCAAAGGTCAAGGTCACATTGACATTGTAGGTAAAAACGGTTTCCAATCAATAACTTGACAACCCATGGGATATTGGCCCTCAAACTTCGTAGGTGCATTAAACTTGACCAGTAGATTATCCCTGTTGATTTTTGCGGTCAAGAGGTGAAATATTGTTTATTATAACAACTGATGTTATGTAACAGACTGTAATTTGTTTCAAATTGATAACTTTAGGATTTTATCCTTTCTCTGTTTCAATATTACGTTGTCATGTGCACCTTTATGCATAGCTTTACTTTTCTACTTTTCATTTTTACCAAAGCTTATTTTATTAACAAGTTTAATACAAACAAAAAGAAAAAAATAATTCATTTCACAAAATGTTGGAGGATTTCTGTCGCAGAATACCTGTAGGTATGGACTCTAACAGAACAAGTTTTAGTATAAATAAACAGAAATTGTCATACAAAGCTGAATAAACTTTTTCTTCTAACTAATGTATTAAAGGTTCAATTGAAGCCTAAAAAACTGAAAGTCTTACATAGATCAGCTGGAGCTCTTAAAAAAGAAATATATGCAAAAGAATAGAAATGAATATACTGTACTCAGTATAAATGAAAAATCATATTTTGTTCTATTCTTAGCTCGATTTGAGTGAAAATGCGTAGTAACATCACTAGTAGCAATTTTGGGTTATTTTGCAGAATTTGAATAATTATTCTGGAATTCTAGAAAAACAGTCTGAGCCAATGATCTGATATTTGGAACAAAAGTTAATGGTCTAAACAAAAATCTGGAAACAAAGTGATCCCTAGGAAGCATTAATCACAACAAAATTACATGAAAATTGAAGACTCGGTTTGATTGAGTATGTACATGAGGGATAATCAATAAGTTCAACATCCCTCACGCCCGGCTTGAGCGGTATTTAATTCTCAACACTTAATAGTGCTGACATCAATGATCCCGAAGAACCAGAAAAATATAACATCGCTGAAGTGAAGAACGGGGTAACTTTTGACAGCTGCCACACATCACTTGACACCTGCTGTTGTGAAGTATAAAAATATGGAAACAAATAGATCTTGGAAGCATTAATCACAACAAAATTACTTGAAATTGCAGAATGGGTTTGATTGAGTCTGTACAGGAGGGATAATGAATGAGTGCAACATTCAAACCCCAAAAGAATTATTTCCAGTCCCGGCATGACAAAAAACCTAAGTGGAGTCCCTTTAACATACATCATGAAGCATGAATCTATTTAAGTTGATCTTTTTTTCTTATCTTGTCAAAATATCTTGTAAATCAGTTTTCTTCAACAAAGGGACACAAAAAATGTCAGATATAAAATAACTGCTAAACACAGTTATCTTCTTAAGATTGAAAGAAAGAGGAAGTTTATAAAAACCCAGAAAACCCAATACTATACTTGTTGAAAATTCTGAAATACTTTGATTTTCTTTAGAATATTGAAAATCTAGTGACCTCTGCTGTAGATATAAACAAAAACGTTATAATTTAATAATTTTTCTACACTTCTGATTAGTGTTGATTAGAATTTATTTCAAAAATAAGTCAAAATTATGCATCTGATTATAATTATAATTTCATAGACTTTATAAAAAAATAAACAGTGTAAATCAATTTTTACACTTAAAAGAGAAATACATGCAAAAGTATTGAAAGTAATATACTGTACTCAATATAAATTAAAACTCATAGTTTTGTGCTATTCTTAGCTCAATTGAGTGAAAAAGCATAGTGACATCACTAGTAACAACTTTGGGTCATTTTTCAGTAATAGAGTAATTATTCTGAAATTCTGGAAAAACAGACTGAGCCAATAATCTGATATTTGGCACAAAATATATTGGTCTAAATCTACATCAAAAGGAACCTTAATCTTGAAAAATAATTTCCTGTCCTGATGTTACTTAAATTGACAGTGGAGTTCCTTTAACATACATAATGCATACATGAAGCATGAATGTAGTACAGTTGATATTAATCTTTTCTTGTCCAAATATCTTGTTAATCAGTTTTCTTCAACAAAGGGAGACAAACAATGTCATATATAAAAAAACTGCTCAACAGAGTCATCTTCTTAAGGAGGAAGATAAAAATAAATCCAGAAAACCCAATACTCTAATTGTTGCTAGCAACTGGGAAATTCCTGAAATATTTTGTTTTTCCTTTTAAAAAATTGAAAATCTAGTGGCCTCATAAGTTTTAATCTGCTGCAGATATAAACAGAAAGATAAAAGTTAAAATATTTTTCTAAACTACTGACATGTTTTGATTTAAATCGTATTTCAAAGAATTCAGAATTATGTGTCTGATTTTAATTTTCATTTCATAGGTATTATTAAAATAATTAAACAGTGTAAATCAATTTTTACAACACAAAAAATCAATCTAAAATATTAATTAATACTTTTCTTATTAAATCACAAAAAATGATAATGATGATGAAAACTTATCTTAAATCAATTTTCTGAAAAGGAAAATATGACAATTAAATAATAAACAATAATTATCTGATTGTGATGATCTTCGATAAGAAAATAAAGAAATGAAATATGTTAGAACCTTTATAATATTTTAAAACATTAATAATATTTTCAGAATGTATCGAGTACCAAATTACACCGAGACTGTGTCAATGAAGCTATCAGAGGTTCTTTCTGATATAGGTGTTGATGAGAGAATAGTGATGAAAAGGAGAAGATCACGACTTCTGATGGAATCAAAAACAAATATAAATATCCAAGCACTTGATGGAGATGGTTTTGTATATGTTTTTGGGAGTCAATCAGAAGGAACAACAACAATAGGTATTAATTCAGACATAGATCATCTTTTCTGTTTTGAAAATCGCCCTGTAATACAAGACTGGAGTGACTGGATACCTGGTGTACTTAATCATTTGATGATTCAAGATAATTCTATATCTCCTGGATATTGTTTACTTCAACGTCTGAGACCTGATGCTGCTCTTCCTGCTGATGCTCTTCCTGCTGTTGCTCCTCCTGATGATGTATTTAATCAATACTACTTCAAGGACAGAACAGGAAAATTCCTTTTGAAAAATTCTATAGTATCTTTATTTAATATAGACAGAGAAGTACATGGACCAGCAGGTGTACAACAAGGACAACCAGGCTACTCTGATATAGATAATGTGATAGCTCTATATTGTACAACATGGCCGCGACAAGCTAGACAATGGTTGGATCAACAAGGTGAAGGTCAATGGCCAACTGCTGAAATGAAACATTATTGCAGCAGAACTGGATGCTTTGTTGTTGGTGTTGGGTGTAAAGGCAGTGAACATGAGCAACTTGAATGGAGAATTTCAACATCTTTCGCTGAAAGGTGCTTAATGTTCAATTTGAATATTACACAGATTCGCTGTTATGTGTTGATGAAAATGATTTTAAAAACATTTATTAATCCATTGTTTAAAGGTGTTATTACAAGTTACATGTGTAAAACTGTACTCTTCCACTGTATATCCAATACACGTTCTAACATCTGGAGAGAAAATAACATACTTTCTTGTCTAACACTGTGCTTAGATCTCTTGTACAACAATATCATTAATGAAAAGTGTCCACATTTTATGATACCTGAGAAAAAATTTAATGAGGTGAAAAAATTTCTTCAGAATAAACCCATATATCTTTGGGAAAAAACTTAAACAATATTAAAAAATTTGGGAGGGTGGCACATTGGAAAAATGGGTCCCCTTAGTTTCCAGCTTTTTTACGTTTATAATTTTTTCCATCAAGTGTGAAATTGTTTAGAAAATATTAAAAATAAATTCATATTTAAATGACCCCCAAAAGAAATTTTTTAAAATTTTTAAAGACATAGTTTCCCCAAACCCTTGAAAATTAAAAAATATGTATCAAAAAATTCAGTTTCAACATAAAGGAATTATAAAAAGCAAAGTTTTCGTTTCCGTAAAATTGTACAACACTTGGAACCGGGGACTGCTTTAAAATCTACAAAAAAATGATTGCAAAAGAAACTATCTCAATTGGTCTGAATACTGATGTTGCATCAAGTAAACTGAAACTAGCTTCAATCTTATACTGTGTACAAGAAATACAAAAAGCTGACCTAGTACTCAGTGAGATTGAAAGAAGATATGATGTACAAATTGTTGAGCCTGTCTGTTCTTGTCATCTTTTTAAGAAGGAACTATATAGACCAGGATTCTGTGAATTATGTGACAATCAAAATGAAGACGCCATACGATATGCAACAGCATTTTGCGTTAGTTTTATGCGTTGTGAAATTCACTGTGTACCGACTGATTTCAGATATGAAATGTTTAGATCTACACAAGAGGACAGAATGTTTCGTACAGAAGATGACAACAGATGGATGGATTGTGCTATGGTGGATTCCCTCCCTTACCTTTACTTTCTACAATACAAAGTTAACAGCCATTTAGGGGGAGAACATGACCAGGAACAAGCTTCTTTTTCAAACTTTTATTAGACCAATAAAGAGGAACCAAAAACCTTGGAACCATCGGGTAACAGCCTAAATCTTCTAAGGAAAAGCATGGAACAAAAAGGGGAAAGGTAAGAGCTGGAGACGCTTTTACAGTTTATTCGAATGTCAACTTAACATTCTAAAAGGAGGGAGAGAACAATGCTGCGCAAAATTCATTTTGATACTCCTATCTGTACTGATAAATTCAAGGACATAAAAGGTAAGACAAACATGTGAGAAAAAGCAGGACAATCAGAAAGAACTAGCTATTTATATTCCTGCAAAATTCCAAGCTATCCATACCAGCAATATTAACTTTGATTATACTCTACCTTTAACATAAGGTACTTTGACATGTTAATTTTTTTAGGCTGAAGGTGAAAGAACTTCAAACAACCCAGGTGGCATAACATTCTTATAGAGTATTTGAAAACCAGGCAGGAGAGTGTGCCATATTATCACTTAGAATTTGATCTGCACACATAAATTTAGCCAAGTAAAGCCTATGATAAAAATTGTCTGATTGGGAATAAAAAAGCAGAAGCATTGTCATTCAGGTATGACAACACAAAATACAGTGTGGATACTTCCTGTTTACCTAGATAAATGGTTCCTTTATCTTGTGTAAGTTTCTGTACTGTATCCTTGGTAATGAGTAGCTGACCTTTATAACTATCTAAATCGACCTTGGTGTTACTCAGTTCATCCTTCATGATAGATAACTCCTCTCTGTCTTCCAGTTCCCTCTACAAGTTGTATGTTTACGCCATAACTTTATTACTTTAAAGCAGCACAACTTAATATGAGTAAGGTTAATCTTGAGAAAGTAATGTGATTAATGTTCGTCGGACATTTATTTGGCTTTTGTTCAATTTTTCCAGGTATTGGAAGTATTGCAGTATGGCTTTATTCTATTTTTCAAGGTATAGAACTTTTGCAGTATAACTTTATTCTATTTTTTTCAGGCATTGGAAGTATCGCAGTATGGCTTTTGTTTTATTTTTCCAGGTTTTGAAACTTTTGCAGAATAACTTTGCTCTATTTTTTTCCAGGCATTTGAAGTATCGCAGTATTGCTTTTGTTCTATCTTTTCCAGGTTTTGGAACTTTTGCGGTATGGCTTTTGTTTTATTTTTGCAGATGCAGAAAGTATTGCAGTATTGCTTTTATTCTATTTTCGCAGTATAAGAAGTATTGCAGTATGGCTTTTGTTCTATTTTTCCACATGTACGAGGTACAAAAGTATTGCAGTATCACTTTTGTTCTATTTCTCAAGGTATTGGAAGTATTGCAGTATGGCTTTTGTTATATTTTTCCGGGTATATGAAGTATTGCAGTATGGTTTTTGTTATATTTTTGCAGATGTAAAAATATTGCAGTATTGCTTTTATTCTATTTTCGCAGTATAAGAAATATTGCAGTATGGCTTTTGTTCTATTTTTCCACATGTTTGAGGTACAGAAAGTATTGCAGTATAACTTTTGTTCTATATATCCAGGTATTGGAAGTATTGCAATATGGCTTTTGTTATATTTTTCCGGGTATATGAAGTATTGCAGTATAGTTTTTGTTATATTTTTCCAGATATTGGAAGTACTGCAGTATGGCTTTTGTTCTATATTTCCAGGTATTGGAAGCATTACGCTGGAGAGACTTGATGGTAACAAAAGTGTTGACCTTGATAACACAGATGAAATGATAGAAGATAAATCAGAGCAAAAATTGAAGTCCAAGAAGAAAGCCAAAGTTGTCAAATTTTAGATATATTTTGGCATATTATACATAATATTACAATGGAAAAAATAAATAATATATATTTGATGCATTTCACTGATTTAAATATCCCTTATTTATAAATCTCTCAATAAAATTGACAACTGATAACTTAGTGTAAAGAAATATCTTAAATTTATGCTTAACCTGCAGAATTTGTTAAATAGACTGTTCAAACTTCCATATTTATACGCCCGAAAATATTTTAGCATATAATGTTGTGCACCTGGTCTGCTTTCTGTTGTGCATCTCTTCTCATTATGGCTAAGATTTCTCGAAGTTAGCAGAAATCTTAACCATAATGAGAAGATATGCACAACACCTTCCTTAGGTCAAGGTCACATGTCATTTTGTATCAATTTCAAACTTTCGTGTCCGCACTGTATCTTTTCAGACTGATAAAGAGAAATAAAATCTTTTAGGCAGAAATATTACTTATGATGACATGATGTGCAGAGCACAGGTTTGGGCTTCAAGACATCAAACGTAGCCCTGCCCCGGGGATAACTTGATTCATATAGACTTATATAGAAAAAATAATTAAGTTTCATTGTGTAAATCTACAATGTCTAGAGCATATAGATATATAGCATGTAGCATTGCAGTATTAACCTTTACAAAACTGATGTGAATCATGCCCCTTGGATAAACATTGGCCCCGCTACAGGGGCCGCTAGATTTATATAGAACAATCTTATTGTGTGAAACTACCTTGCCCAGAGCGATCATGTAACATCATTCTGTGGACCACAAAAGAATTTGTTTAATCATGCTCCTTGGGTCAATATAGGTCCTACAAGGGGGGGGGCACTTTGTTAATATAGTTTTGTATAGGAAAACACATTTAAGTCTTATTTTGTCGAAACTGCAATGCCTATAGTTTTGGTATTTGACATGTTGCATTGCCTTGCTGGCTTCTACAAAACTGATATTTATCATGGCCCTGGGGTCAATATCGGCCCGTCCCGGGTTTACATGATTTATATAAACTTATATAGGAAAACAATTTTAGTCCTATTGTGTGAAACTACAAAGCCCAGAGCTTAGATATTTGGCATGTAGCATCAATTTGTAGATTTCTATAAAAAGTTATATTTATCATGACCCTCCGCCTCCGGATAAAATAAGGCCTGTCGAAGTCATTTGCTTTACGTAGACTAATATATAGGAAAACATATCTTATCTTTCTGGCATATAGCATTGTAACAGGAAAAAATAATGGGCTCTGCAGGATCTGGCCCTTATTTTTTCCAAGTCATGTCTGTTAAGTTTTGTAATTGTACCACTAGCATGGTATTCTCTATGTCACTGCCCGGTGTATCCGGTCATTGGAAATCATCGTAAAGCATCGGTTTGCTATTTGGCTTGGCCTAGGCTTCAAAGTTGTTAGTAATCACTTATATGCTTTATGGTTACATGTATGGACCAAGAACCTTTAAAGAGCCAAACGGGAATATTTTATAAAGAATTACATAGGGAAAATAATTTTGCCAAAAGCTACATGACTTAAATGATACATAACATGGCTTCTGCATAACCTGTTATATTTGTAATCCTTACTATGGACCATGGAGGATGGAACTGGAGTTCCCGGAAAATAGAATGTTGCCAGTTGATCACCGGCCTTAATCAATATATTATTTTGTTGTATTGATTTACATGCATTTTTGAGATGCAAGCCATGTATTTACCAACATAATATGGACTATATTAAAGGGACCCTTCTGAGTTTTTTTGACATTGCGGGACTTGAAATAGTTTTCTGTGATTCTTATACCATATAATGAAGACCTTTACCGATAACTTGTATAAAACATCTACATCTCTGCTTATATACAAATTTTCAGATCATTTGCTCAATCCGTTTAATTTCCAGAAAAATCTTTTTTACACAAAAAATAAAGCATCCAACTTTGCTAAGAATAAGCTTGATTTCGATTTCAATTTAATTCAGTCAAGTTGCTTTTCGTCAAAGATCTTGAACACAGTAGTACATATATACTAGTTGGAAGCAGTCTTGCGGTAAAAAGAACTCAACTGATGTACAAAAGCGTAAAAAATGGAACATTTATCTTGAAAATTTATTACCAGTCTTGTCATGTCAAAAAAATAACAACCTCAGTGGAGTCCATTTAACATATCCAAGTAATTTTTCATCTGTCCAAAGATTCTTATATCTAAAAAGATGTAGATAAACGGCAGTACCTGTAATAAAGAACAAAGGCGGAAAAAGATCGAAATGATATGACTTAATCGATGAGGGCCGGGTTCCTAATAGACAGTACTTCAATCATGCCTCATATGTACATGCACGAGCGTATTTACAGTTACCTCAAGCAAATAGAAACTTATTACAGTTATTCCTTATATATACATGCACGAGCGTACATGTATTTACATTTATTATATACTTATAAATGAAATATTAAAAAAAATATTGATGGAATAAAATGCGTTTTTTCTCTCATATTTTAGCTTTTAGTATTTTCACTGTAAAGAGTTGATTTATACGAATATGTGGTATGAAAATTATCATATTTTACTAGTGACTACCAACTCTCAGGAAATATTTATTTCATACCACTCGATGAAAATAAATCCTGTATTAATAGAAAATCTCAATATTAATATCCTCTATTTACTTAATGCAAATATTATAATTAAAACATGAATCATAAAAATAAAGTATAGTGGAACCCCATTTTATCGTGTTATTCATTGTATCGATCTATTTACAAATCTTTCGATTTTTTTTGCAAAATGCACTAGCAACTGATTGCTAACATTTACAACAGTGTCACGAAAATCCTTCGCATTTGTTTTGTGCCGTAAAAGTGGTCAAAACATGTTTCCAGTACCGTCAGACTTTGTTGATAATAAATAGACTTATAATTAGTGTGTTCTTATTAAAACACATTTACTGCCTGTTGAAAGTTCCTAAATTTATGCTGACATTTTTAAAACAGACATCTTTGATTCTAATTGACTGAAAAATCTAGCATAAAGATGGGTCAGACTTCCAAAACTTTGACTAACTGAGCGATTCTCACAATGCATCGATATAATGGTGTGACCTAATTCTTCAACCCCTGTTTGACATGTCTGTAAATAACCGTTTATTCCAAAGCTAATCAAAGCACAGAAGGCGCTGAATTTGTTTGGGTCTCAGAATGTAAGAGAGGAGCAGGTTGTGAGATTATAAACCAATTTGTTTTTGTATAGTGCCACCACTGTTTTCCAGCGTTTTAATTGTAGTAAATTGGCTATAAGACTAATTGCAACACTGATATCCAATCCAATGTTTATTTGACTTAAACAATTTTTAAAAAAATGAGTTGCCTTCACTGGGATTTAAACTCCAGACCTCTCGCTTCCTAAGCGAGCGCCCAAACCCCTCGGCCACGGTGAATTTATATGTTGATGTCATGAAGAAAACCATATTATTCTAAATTAGGGTTTGTAACGACGCTAACTGTTGTTTAACATAGATGCAAATAATCATGGAGCTTACTATAAGCATGTATATCTATAAAGAATAAAACAATATTAGAAATCTTCGACCATTCGGGAATTATTTTGCTTGAAAATTAATGCGCCTGTCATTTGACCATCTTTACGCAGTAATCTCCCCTGAATTTTTCGGCGTTAGTGTACATATACAGGGAAATAACCGCTTCAAAAAAGCGGACTACTTTCGGCATTTGCAATTAACAGCATCAGGGTCTGAAATTTCGCTACCATTATTTGTTTGGTCTGACGACCCAAACAAATAAAAACTATATATCAGTGATGTTTGTCATGTAATATTTATGACAAAAGAATTAACATAAATGATACAAAATAAAGATTCAGGGAAATTTAATTTTTTTGACTGCAGTTGTGATTTATGGGTAAATAGATCGATACAACGGGGTTCCAGGCTAAATGATTACTATTTGCCGATGTATAACGGAAATGACCGAAAAGATACGAATGAAAATTATCTTGCATAAATCATTATGGATGCACTTTTGATGAACACATACTTCGATTGACAATTATTATATTGATGTCACAATGACATATGAGCAAAGACAGATTTTTGTTACCGGTTTAGATGAAACCCAATTAAATAATTTCTTAAAGCTTGCGATATGTTATGTGTTTTTGTAGATTTAACTTTGAAATCGCGAAATAAAGATGTGTTATTCTTTCAAAGCTTAACTTAATTTCGTCACAACGGGTATTTCAATTTCAATATTGCGTTTCAAGATCAATTTAAAACTTCATTTTCTTACAATGTAGACTTAAAATTTGAACATCTTAAATAGAAAACTCACACACTGCAACAGAATTACGTATGAATATCAACAGTTATTTAGTTTGCCCGATGATGTATAAATTGAATTTATTGAAAAGCTTTATATTAAAGGTCTGTTCAAGCTTAACTAATTTCTCCGCTTGGATTAAGAAGTCTGAAAAGTACAGGAAGTAAACAACCTTTTATATTCAAATATTTTTCTCTTATAAAAGCCAATATTTGAAACAGTTTGATTCCCACAAGATATTAATGGATGTGAGTCAAAAGATCATTAAGGGACCACATCTATCTTTAATGTGAATTACTCATGGCAAAGCAGTGTGTTGCCAAGATAATTTTGTTGCTCGTCTTTATGTTAGCGCTTATTGATTTTTTTTCAAGACCCGGAAAACGCCGAAATATCTTCCTTTTTTACTCGTGATTTTTGTAAGAAGTGAAAAGACCGGAAAATATTCTTGTTCGAGGCCGTCTCAATGCTTATTTGATTTTGTAAGATGCAGAAAATGCCGAAATATTTTGTTGCTAGCGATAATCTCGACGTTTGATTTTTTACAAGAGTTGAATTGCCAAATCATTTTGTTCTCGTGTTTCATTGTCGACGCTTAATTTGATATATATACATGCGGAAAATGTCGAAATATACCGAATGTTCAAGAACTCATAATGGATGTCATACCTTAATTCACTGTACTTTTTTAAATTGTATTCATTGAACCATATATGGAAATATTTTATACATCTG